TGGTCGGGCCCGCCTTGGGCTGCTGTCTAGTTTTATACTCTTATCAATGTGAATGTTAACATGTCAATGTAAATATTCACATTGTCAATGGGCCGGACCGGGCCCGCCCAGGGCCGCCCATGGGCCGCGGGCGAGTTTCGCGCCGTCACGGGACGAGGGCCAATTTTACACTCCTATTAATGTGAATGTTAACATGTCAATGTGAATATTCACATTGTCAACGGGCCGGGCCGGGTCGGTCCCACCCTGGGCTGCTGTCCAGTTTTATACTCTTATCAATGTGAATGTTAACATGTCAATGTGAACATTCACATTGTCAACAGACCGAGCCGGGCCCGCCCATGGGCCGTGGGCGGGTTTCGGGCAGCCACGAGGCGCAGGCTAATTTTATACTCCTATCAATGTTAATATTCACATTGTCAACGGGTCGGGCCGGGCCCGCCCAGGCCGTGGGCCGGCTTTTGGCCGCTCATGGGCTGCGGCCTAATTTTATGCTCTTATCAATGTGAATGTTAACATGTCAATGTGAATATTCACATTGTCGACGGGCCAGACCGGGACCGCCCCGGGCCGGCCATGGGTCGCGGGTGGGTTTCGCACCGCCACGGGACGGGGGTCAATTTTACACTTCTATTAATGTGAATGTTAATATGTCAATGTGAATATTCACATTGTCAACGGGCCGGGCCCGCCCCGGCTCGCAGCCTGGTTTCGGGCCGCCCACGGGCTAATTTTACATTCCTACCAATGTGAATTTTAAAATATGAATGTTCACATCATTAAATTGCTAATCGTTCAAAAAATATTTATAAGGGTATCAAAATTAAATATAAGGGCATAAGTGTCCAAGAAAATAGTGTAAATCAAGAAAATGGACTTTATGGAATAAAACTATACATACATGGAACTAAATGGGTTAAAACACTTCTAAATTGGAATTATCAATAAAAATCCCAATATTTTATCTTATTGATTTTTAGTCTATTTTGTCTTATTGTAGATAATTTGGCCGAAAAGTCAACCCAACTTTCATGCCAAACAACACCTATAAATGTAATATAAATTAAAAGAAGTCAAATTTAGACTCAAACTAGTGCACCAGTTAGAACTTACAATTGACATACTTTTATTTATAAATATATATATATATATATATATGGTTCGCTATATAAACAGATTCTGCCTTCAAGACATTATTTTCATTGTCTCTTTATGGTTCAATATGGTTGCATAAAAAAATTACTCCCTCCGTTTCAAAATAATGGTCCTTTTTGAGAAATTTAACTTTTTTAGATAGTATAATTATTGTATTTTAAAAAAATTGATTTTCCAAAATTACCCTTTGATAGTATATTTTTAAAAAATATTAATGTCATAATAGTAGTTTTTATGTTAATGAATTTAAAAGGATGGCAAAATGGAAAATTTATATTATTTTTGTACTTGATTTTTGAAAATAGACTAATATTTTGGGACAATAAAAAATGAAATAAGGGACTAATATTTTTGGACGAATGGAGTATTATTTTTTATTTTCTATTTGAATACACACATTACTGACAATAATAAAAAAGGATAAATCACATGATGATCAAATATCATGATCAAAACTTAATGGTGCAAAAATAAATCCATTACATTAATTTTCCAATAAATTTTAACATATAATTACTTATGGTTCGTATAAATGATTTTAATAATGTAAATCAATAGTGAAGTTGAATACTCATAATGATGGGTCTATAAATATCAAAAAATTACGGATGCAATTTCTATATAGATCAAAATATTAAGGTAAATTTCACTTTCTTACAAAATAAATTTCACATTTTCTACATGAATCATATATGATTCTTATGAATAATGTTATATTTCTTATTATGCAAGATGTTCACTGCATAGGAAATCAATCTCAAAAACTTTTTATTGGGGTTTTTTTTTTTCCCTTTTTTTTTAGCATACTTTTTCCTTTCTCTTGTTTTTTTTTTTAACATTACGAATTTAAGAACTTATTTATTTGATTTTTAAAGTTGATATATGTTATATTTTGTTTACAATTTTACTAAATTATCTATACAATATATTTACAAAGGTGTGTATTGCTTAGCCTCCGTTTGGGAAGTGAGTTGGCTTTTTGGCTTTTTGGCTTTTTGGCTATTTTAGCCTGGGCTATTTTAGCCTTGTTTGGGAAGGGCTTTTTGACTTTTTGGCTTTTTTGACTTTTTTTGTGAGAGAGGATTGTAATGATTATGGGTTTCAAAGGGTAATTTTGGAAAACCAACTTTTTAAAAGTACAATAATTGTACTACCAAAAAAAGTTGGATTCCCCAAAAGGAACCATTATTTTGGGACGGAGGGAGTATATGTTATATTTTGTTTACAATTTTACTAAATTATCTATATAATATATTTACAAAGGTGTGTATTGTTTAGTATACCCATTATATTCTAAAATTCATTATCTATATTACAAAGACAACTACAAACAACAAGAACTTTTAAAAACTAATTAGATTAGATTAGATTAGATTAAATAACACAACAATGATTGAAACCCTTTTTTTTGGAGACCCGTACAATCCCCTTTGGATCTCCACCATAGATGCATGTGTAAGACCCACTCATGTATGTATAGGACCCACACCATCAATAGTGGAGATGCAAAGAGAATTGTGAGAATCTCCAAAAAAAAATGAGTCTCAAGCATTTTTCTAAATAAAAACAGCACTTACACCCCACTACTACCAGCAAAAGTCCAAACCAAACCCAGGACTCCCTAAATCATAATTTTAAACCCCAAACTCCTTGGCTGCCAATGAAATAGTTGCAACTTTTATAAAAACAAAAATGAGTCTTTTAGCAAAATTTTAACATGAAATATAATCCTCACTTGCACCTCTCTGAAACAAAATTATCCCCACTAAAACACAATTACTCCCAAGTTTTTATACAATGTTATATTAAAGCACACAAACCACAAATCAAGCCACATATCTGAAACAAAGACACGACTGATCTAATAAAAGAAGTATCAATTCAACAACTTCACAATAAAACCCACACACTACACAACACTGTCAAAACCCACCCACTTCACTACTTACTACAAGTTATGACCCCTCTCTGTCTCTCTCATATTTGCCATTACATAACTGAACAGCTACTGATGTTGTCATCACTGAACATTTGAGTAGCAGAGTGATGATCATTAGCATTAGGGTAATAATTGGGGTCAGTGGTGTAGGAGGTGGTGGGGGTGTATGAGACTAATGGTGGGCCATAGTTATTATGATTATTATAGTAATAAGCAGTGGTAGGAGGAATGTAAGGAGACCTTTGGTACATCATCTGGGGTTGTTGCATGGCATGCCTGTTCTGCAAGTTCATCAACATTGATGATGAGGATGAGTTGTCGTTGTGCTGCTGATTATGCCCACTCATGTTTATCATTAATGGGGTTTGATGATGACCAGCTGCTAAACCACCAGTTGGGAAAGAAGAAGCTCCCCCTTGGAATCCATTGTTTGGCTGGACTTGAAACCCTCCCATTCCATTGGAATTGCCTCCTAAAGCAGCAGCACCAACATTAGACTTTTCTTACTAAATCCAAATGTTTTTGTCAAACATATTTTTGAAATTCTAAACAACATTATCAGGGTTATTTAACTTTCTAGACCCAAAAAAAAAAAAAAAAAAAAAAAAAAAAAAAAAAAAAAAAAAAAGAAGAAAAAAAAATTTACACAATGTGAAATCGTACTTTAAAAATGAATAAAATACATTATATCATTATTATAAAATGTGAGTTCCAAAAAAGAATGCAGTGTGAGCTCTATAATTTTAGACAAATCAAAATACATATTTTATTGACACACCTAACAAGTTGTGTGAACAAAATAAAACTTGTCTTTGCAAAGACAAGGAATTATGTTTAAAAAGACATAATTCCTTATCAAATGGTGTTGCCTTCAGTAAAAAAAAAAATGAAAAAATAAACAAAAACAAAAACAAAAAAAAATTGGTATGGCCAGAAACACGAAAAGTTAAATTAATAAATATACCAATTACGACATTAAACTTTAGGAGTTTTCTTAAGTGTGCAAGTGCACACCATGTGCCACTTATACAAAAAGTGTAAGTGTAAGGTGTAAGTATAAGTATAAGGTGTAAGTGTAAGGTGTAAGGTGTAAGTGGGTTGCACATGGTGTGCAACCTCAAAAAAGGTGTAAGTGTAAGGTTTAATTTTTTACAAAAGGCGTAAGTGTAAGGTATAAGGTGTAAGGTGTAAGTTGCACACCATAACCAAACCCTAAACTTTAATGTGGATTCCCCCATTGACGTGGAGTCTAACTAATTATATTCTAATTGATATATTTGTCAATACGTTTGTTTGTTAGTATTCCGACAATACTAAAAAAAAACCTCAACATTATTACCTCCATTTCCATGAAAACCAGCAAGACTCATCATAGCATTGATGTCACTTGCCTTTTTAGCCTCCCCTGCATTCACATTCCCTCCTCCACCCAAATGGACATTGTTCATCTTCAATGCTGCCAATGTTTTCTGATCAATTCCCATGTTCTGATTTGGATTCCCTTTCTTTCCACCACCGTTGTTCATCTTATTACCATTGTTAGAATTTGCAGCAATAGACCCCACACCTTTCCTCGCATTCATTGCTTCCATGGCCTGTTGTTGTTGCCTGAGCAGACTCAGTTGGTTTGCTTTCGCTCTGAGAAACCTTAGCTCATCTTCTTCATCATCTTCTTCCTCATCATCCAAATACTCATCATCTTCCGAGCTGAATAATGTAGGGAACTTTTGCTGGTTCTTGAAAGCTTCAAGGCCTTTAACCAGACCTTGTTTTTGGGTTTTGTTGTTGTTGTTGTTGTTGTTGTTGTTTTTGTCATCTCTGATTGAGTTGGATTTCTGTTTTTGGTTTTGGTTGTTTTTGTGAGACCAAAGCTCAGCATGCTTACCAGCTCTAACCAGTTTCTTGATCAAAGTTGCAGAGTCTACAGTTCCTGAAACTGTGACTTTCTGTTGCTCTGCCTCTATTTTTACTTGGTAAACACCTATGAAAAAAATTGGGGGTAAAAACAAGTGATGAATAGAAGAAATAAGAAAGCACAAAACATTTGGCAAGAACAAAGGAAAAACAGATGAGATCAAAATCAAAAAAAAAATTACACTGGGAATAGGCTACTTTATTAGTAACTTTTCGGGTTTTTTTTTTTTTTTTTTGAATAAAATAGGAAATGAAAAAAAAAAAACTGTCTTTTTAATGATTTTTTAACTATTATAGGAGTTCCCAAACCAAGCCTTGGGGCAGCAAGTTCTAGTTGATGAACAGTATTTTACTTATATGACATTTCGTTTGAAAAGTAGGTTAACTTATTGATTTTTTGATTTTTTAATTATTTTAGCATAAGGTCAAAAAAAATTTGGCCTCTCTTGGGAAATGGATTAAAAGCCATTTCCAACTTTTAACCCATTTTGAGTCAAATCATCTCTCATATTTTTAACAAAAATCGTTTGGGTATTGGTTTTTTTGCTTTTTAGTTATTTTAGTTTGGGGTTAAAATATCTTATTTGGAATGAGTTATTTTATTTTTTTGACTTTCGTGAAAAAAAAAAAGAAATAATTATAATTTGAATGTAATATTTTATCTTATGGACTTTTTTACTTATTTTGTCTTTTTGTAATTAACTTAAAAGCCAAAAAAATCCACTCGCCAAACGATGGCTAAAATGGGTATTATTTTTAAATTTTCAGCAAACATTACGAATCATCAAAACTTCTCAGCCTTTCCGACAAACATACTAACCGGACACAATCTCAAAATAAATTATTGGTATATTTGTTAGTGCTAAAGTAAGACCATCAGTTTTACTAATAATCTTGCAAGTGAGTAAAAGGCTGGTTTGGCAAACGTAAAAAAAGTTATAAAGTAAAAAAATTATTAAAAAAGTTTAAAAAATTATCACTATTCATTAAAAAAAATATAAAAAAATTAATATACAAATATTAAATACAAATTAACTTTTTCTCCCATTAATGTACTGATGTCAGGCCAGCTTCAGTGAAAGGAAAAAAAAATATATATATATATATTGTTTGTGTACATTCACTAAGTTGAATGATAAAGTTAAGCCCGTGGGGGCCCACCATGGGTCCTGTTTTAATAATTCAAGCAGTCAAAATGTAAATCTCGTCTAGTACTATATGCCTGTAAAAACTTATATCTATCGGATATCACTAACTAAATGATCAATCAATTTTGTATAAAAATTGAATGGTGTTATAGTTAACAGTTGACAAAAAAAACTAACATGATCAGATAGCTATCGATATCCAATCAACGTGATGTTTTACAAACATATAGTACGCGACAAGTTTTACACATTGAACGGTTCTGATTAGAAAAACGGAACCCGTGGTGGGCCCCCACGGGACGAATAACACCGTCTAATCAAAACCTGAAAAGAAAACAATTTTTTTCCATGTATTCACCCAGCCGACTGACTGTCAATCCGTACGGATGTACTACACTATCTTCTCCTACACAATTATTTATATAATTTTTTAATACATATTTTTTCATAAAAAGTCAAAAAAATTAATTCAAATATTCATATTTTTTTGTTCAAATTTTTAGTTCAAAAAGACAAGAAATACACTTATTTAAAACACCCCAAACAATCCGTAAAATATTTGCCTTTAACATTTTATCACTCTCCCATTTAGATACGACATCGTGGCCTTCATAGAAACAGCTATTGCGAAGCATAGATTACTTTGGCCAAAGCGACAGCTGGTTTCGTGAGATCCAAAGGAAGGAATATCAGTGGATAAATTAACCAAAATTTTGAAAAATAGCAATTTTCTTCAAGTAAGCATAGAGTGACCAAATTTGAAGACATAATTTTGAGGAGTTTAGTTAACCGGCATGACACTGGTTAATGAGTGATTATTTGCGGCCAATTTGGAAAGATAGTAAAAAAGTAAAAAGTTAATTTTTGACTTTAATTTATTTTGAATTACATCATTTTTTTTATTTTTTTTACACGTTTTTTATAAAAAAAAAATATAAAGAAATAAAGCCAAAAAGCTAACTTTTAAGGAGATTGTTTAGAGTAGAGTGTCCTAAATAAGTGCATTTTGTCTTTTTAGATTAAAAAATTAAGAAAAAAATATATGAATGTTTTGGTTAACTTTTTATAAAAAAAATGTGTATCAAAAAATTATATACATAAATGTGTAGGAAAAGATAGTGTAGTACACCGTACGGATTGACAGTCAGTCGGCTGGATGAATACATGAGAAAAAATTGCCTTCTTTTTGAGCTTTGATTGGACGGTGTTGTTCGGCCCGTGAGAGCCCACCACAGGTCCTATTTTTCTAATAGGAACCGTTGAATGCGTAGAACTCGTTAAGTACTATATGCTTGTAAAAAATCACGTTAATTGAATATCGATAGCTATCTGATCGTGTTAGTTTTTTTTTGTCAACTGTTAACTATAACACCATCCACTTTTTATACAAAACTGATTTGATCATGTAGTTAGCGATATCCAATAGACGTGATTTTTTACAAGCATATAGTACTAGACGAGTTCTACATCTTAAACGGTTCGAATTATCAAAACGGGACCCATGTTGGGCCCCACGGGCCAGTTGGCTTGACGTCAAACATTGATGGGCCAAAAAGTTTATTTATATTTTAATATTTGTATATTAATTTTTTTTGTAACTTTTGACTTTTTGACTTTTTTTACACTTGCCAAACTAGCCCCAAGTTCCCAAACGGTGGTCTTACAGCAATGCTTAAAACCATCCAATACATGACACTTGTTAGGTTATCGCCCATAAACCAAGAAAAATTATTTAGTAGTTTTGAAATAAATTCATATGATGTCCCAACTTGATTTTCATTTATTAAAATGGTGATATCAACACTTTTTGATGGCTTGAGATACAACTTGACAATTGTCAAGTAATAAATGGAATAGAGTAATACTCCAAAACTACCAAATAATCATGCCATCAACCAAATAAAAAGTATTGTATCTCATTGTATTGATTAATAAAAATCAAATTAGAACATCACATAGCCTTACTCCAAAATTTTTAAGGAACTTTTCTTTATTAACAAAATTTAAAATAATTGTACCTTTTTATACATTATATACAACTATTTTAAACTTTTTAACAACTGTCTCCAAGGGTTAACAAAAATATTTGAATACCATTGGGCCCCGTTTGTTTGGAGATTGGGACTACTAATACTTTGGTATTACTAATACCTTATTTATTTTGAGAGATGGCCTTGCGACTACTAATACCTTGGTATTACTAATACCCTTAGAAGAGAGATTCATAGTGAGAAGGTAGAGATGATATTAGAAAAATAGTGAGAATTAGAAATTTTTTTATTTATTTTTTTTTTATATATTGGGAATTTTTTTAAAAAATATTAATGTTTAATTTTTATATTTTTTTATTTGCTTTATTATTTTATATAAAAATAATTTAACAATTTCTCACTATTAATCCCCTCACTATCAATCCCCTCACTATTAATCCCTTCACTATCAATCCTTTATGTTCTATCTCTGAAAACAAACGGAGCCTTGGTTACTTTCTACAAGACATAGCTCAGCCCTCTTTCCCAAAAATAAAAAAGCTCACCCATTAGTCAGCATAAGAGCATCTCCAACCGTTAACCAAATTTGTCATCAAATTTGAGTTAAAAAAAGTCAATTTTCTCAATTTGATACCACTGGCTCCAACGGTGAGCATCAAAAGGGAAAGGGGCGACCGGTTGGTCGACCGGTACAGCATTTTTTTTTTTGTTACCTGTTTGAACCTTTTCTTGACTGGTTTGAACCCACTATTTGAAAGGAAACCAATCGACCGGCTGGTTGACCAGTTGGTCTCCTCCAACGATCACGCACAGTAATTTGGTGAAACCTGTATTCTGTTCTCAGTTTGATGATTTTTTTGTTCAATTCTCATTTTGATACTAATTTGGTGAACCCGTTGGAGCTCCAAAAAGTATATTTTTTACCAAATTTCAAATTTGATGCCAAATTTACTTAACCGTTGGAGATGATCTTAGGCCAATTATATTTGTAAATTGTTTCTTTTTTATAATATATTTTTTTGCCCAAAGATTTTCGGTTTGTTCAGTATTTCAACATATAATTTTTGAAAAAAAAAAATTAATTTTATTTAGTTCAAATTTTTAAAGTGTCCTAAATAAATGCACTTTTTGTTACTAAAAAATTGAGGAAAAAAATATAGATGTTTAGGTTAACTTTTTGACTTTTTACAAAAAAAATATATATTAAAAAATTATATAAATAAGTGTATAAGTATATATTAAAAAATTATATAAATTAGTATATAGGAGAAGTTAATGAAGTAGCTCCATATACTTTGGGCAGTATAGTGGACTGGTTAGGAGATGAGAAATGATTGCCTCCTTTTCGAACTTAAATTGAACGGTGTCGTTTGGCCCATAGGGAACCACTACAGGTCCGTTTTTCTAATCGAAACCATTCAATGTGTAGAACTCATTGGGTACTGTATGCTTATAAAAAATCACGTTAATTGAATATCGATAGCTATCTGATCGTGTTAAATTTTTTGTTAACTGTTAACTATAACACAATTCATTTTTTATACAAAACTGATTTGATCATGTAATTAGCGATATCCAATAAACGTGATTTTTTTACAGGCATATAGTACTGGACGAGTTTTACATATTGAACGGTTTAGATTATCAAAACAGAACTCGTGGTTCTCACAGGCCCAGCATAACCATTCAACTTAGTAAATATATATGTATTTTTTTTTTGTTCATTTCATTGTACTCTCCTTTCACATCAGTATGTAGAGTGGTGTAAAATTAATTTGTATTAAATTATTGTGTATATTATTTTTTTATATTTTCAGGCCTAGTTTGAAGTATTTTAAAAAATTTAAAAAGTCAAAAAGTCATCACTATTCACAAATTAATATATATAATATTTTAATATAAACCAACTTTACACCACTCTAGATACTGACGTGAAAAGATAATACAATGAAAGAAAAAAAAAATTACATATATATATTCCCTAAGTTGAATGGTAATGTTGGGCCCGTGAGGGCCTACCACGGGTCCCGTTTTGATCATCCGAACCGTTCAATATGCAAAACTCGTCCAGTACTATATGTCTGTAAACAATTACGTTGATTGAATATCACTAACTACATGATCAAATCAGTTTTGTATAAAAAATAGATGGTGTTATAGTTAACAGTTGACAAAAAAAACTAACATGATCAAATAGCTATCGATATCTAATCAACGTGATTTTTGACAAGCATATAATACTCGACGAGTTTTACACATTGAACGGTTCCGATTAGCAAAACAAACCCGTAGTAGGCTCCCATGAGCCAAACAACACCATCTAATTCAAGCCTGAAAATGAGGCAATCATTTCTCATCTCCTAGCCAACCCAGTACACTGCCCAAAGGGTGTGTTTGATTGGACGGACTGGAAAATGGGGGATTAGAATCCATCGGACTTGAGTCCTAGGACTGTGAATCCCTCGGACTATTTGGTCGGATTGGATATGTATCCTGTGTTTGTTTTTTCATGGGATTAGATGTCTGGATAGGACTATTTTCAGTGAATCCAACGTTTGGTTGGACGGACTGGATAGGATAAATGAACAAAAGACTATTTTACCCTTTTTCAATTGTTTACTAAGTAATAGCAATATTAAACATATCTTTAATATTTTAATTATTTTTAGTAAACATTAAACATACTAATGGTTAAATTTTGTTTAAAGATATTTAAACATACTAATATTGATAAAAAAATTTGACTGGTATAGATTATTTTTATTTAAACAAATAAAAATTTATTGTTGAAATTAAACATACTAATGGTTAAATGTTTAAATTTTTATTTAAACAATTAACATTGAAATTATTTTGATGTACAAATTATGTTTAAACAATTAACAATTAACAATTAAATAAATGTTGATGTATAGATTATGTTTAAACAATTAACAAATGTTGATGTAATTAACAATTAACAAATGTAAATGTAATCAAATGTTGACGTATTAAAACATAATTTAATAGATGTTAAATAAATATACATGTTGATGTACAGATGTTGAAATAATTTAATAAACATGTTGATGTACAAATATTAAAATTTTAAATAAATTTGTTTTTAAAAATAATAATAATTAAACAATGAAATTAAATAAAACATCTATTAACATTTAAATAATGAGATTAAATAAAATATAAACAAAATTTTAAAATAAAACATTAATAAAATATCTATAAAAAATTATTTTTAAAAATTAAATAAATAAAACATCAATAAAAATTTAAATAAAATTATTTTATTTTGAAATTGAGACATTTAAATTTTATTAAATATAATACATAATTAAATAGTAGAGGGTCAAAATTGTCATTTTCGCATCTAATCCAAACAGTGATTAGTCCCCCCAAAACAATCCCACCCCCCCCAGGACAAGATAGTCCCCCATATGGGGGACATGGAGTCCGGCCGGACATGGAGTCCGCCGGACTAAAAAAAAATCAAACGACGGATAAGGAGGGAGGCCGGACATGGAGTCCAAATAGTGGATAGTCCCCCCCTTATCCCCCAATCAAACACACCCAAAGTGTACGGGCTACTTCACTAACTTCTCCTATACATTTATTTATACAATTGTTTAATACACATTTTTTCGTAAAAAGTCAAAAAATTAATCAAAACATACATCTTTTTTTCCTCAATTTTTTAGTCTAAAAAGACAAAAAAATACACTTATTTAAAACACCCCAAGCAACCCCTTAATTTGTGAATAGTGATGATTTTTTGACTTTTTTTTTATAACTTTTTGAATTTTTTTAAACACCACCGGGCCTTAAAATCACTTCTTTCTTCTACATATCAATCAATCAATCACTTTTTTCTCTCTCCTCTCTCCTTTTCAATCACTTTTTCTGTCACACATATCTACTCAACTATAACAAAATATCAAATCATCTTAAGTTCTCAAACTCTAACATTATTTTCAAAATATACAACCAAATAAATAAAAAAAATTCTACTCTCTTCTTAAAAAACTTTTTTAAAAATTTATTTCAAAACACACTAACATCTTTTGACACCGTATGGGGAAGAAGAATATGGGGCTTTTTTTTGACTATTTTAGCTACAAAAGACAAAATAGGCTATTTTAGCCACAAAAAATAAAACATCACATTCAACCCATAATCATTACACTCTTCTCTCACAAAAAAAGTAAAAAAGCCAAAAAGTCAAAAAAGTCAAAAAGTCAAAAAATCCTTCCCAAACCAAACTTTTTAACCCAGACTAAAATAGTCAAAAAAAAAAAAAACCAAAAAATCAAAAAGTCAACTCACTTTCCAAACCAACCCTTTGTGATTGATAAAAGATGCGGGGTCTATAATTTTGAGGCGTTTTGGCAACACCGTAAAAAGTCAATTTTTTAATTTTATAATTTTTTTAGTCACATTACTTCTTTATTTTTTATATTAAAAAAATTAAAAAATCAATTTTTTACTATTTTCTCAAAATACTACTTTGTGTTGGGTGATTTTAAATAAGAAAGGATATAAAAATTGAAAAATGCTTGGGAGCACTAATTAGTGCTTCCACTAATTAGGTGGCAGTGGGTCCCGCCATTAATGATGTGATGTTTTGGTCTTAGAGTTGTATTTTTTTTTTTTTTTTACTTTTTTGCATTAGTGCTATTAGTGATGATGTTTGATATTTTTAGTGGGATGAATCATTGTTGATAAAAATTTGTGATTGATGACAAGTACGCCCTCGTGACTCCCCACGGGCATTATGAAAAAATAAAATAAAATAAAATAAAAAAATAAAAAAAATAATGATACACCTATTTAAAACTAAGGCCTCTTTTAAAAAGGGAGTTATAATCCAACTTTCATATTATAACTCACTTTTTCTCTCACAATAAAGTTATTTATAAGTAATTTTTTACAAAAAAAAAAATTGATTATAATCATCATCTCAAAATAATCTTAAATTTTAGTGAAGTGAAAAGCCAAAAATAAATAAAGTAAATAAAACGAGATTAAAATATCACATCAGATGGACCTGCTATTAGAGTGCTTACAAATTAAAACTCCAAAATATTTTTGACAAAAAAAAAAAACAGAAAAAGCAAAAACAAAGAAAACCTGAAAATAGAGCCACTTATGGAAAAAAAGATCAGCTACAAAAAAGAGAGTTAAAACAAAGCCATTCATAGTCAACAGCAAAAGCAACACTAGTTCAAAGCAAGAATAGAAAAAATTGTGAGGAAGTGGGCACCTTCAATCCTCTGATGCATTTTTTTAAAAAAAAAAAAAACAGAAAAAGCAAAAACAAAGAAAACTTGAAAATAGAGCCACTTATGGAAAAAAAGATCAACTAGAAAAAAGAGAGTTAAAGCAAAGCCATTCATAGTCAACAGCAAAAGCAACACTAGTTCAAAGCAAGAATAGAAAAAATTGTGAGAAAGTGGGCACCTTCAATCCTCTGAAGCAGTTTCTTAACTTTCTGCTTACACCCATCACAGTGTAGGTTCACTCTGAGCACACAAGTCTGTAAAAAAAATTTAAACAAATAAATAATAGAGAGAAAACAACAACAAAACAGAGAGATTTTAGGGAAAAGTACAACACCCAAATTTCCTGGAGTTCGTAAACTTTCCCAGAAAATAAAAAAGAAAAAAAAAATCCACGAAAAGGGTTAAAGACAGAAAGAGAATGTGTTTATAGAGAGCAAAACCTGGATCTTGAGGAGCTTAAAATCTTCATCTTTAGTCATTTCTGTGAGTGTAGTTTGAAAATGAAAGATCTCTTTCCTAGTGGGAGTAAAAAGACTGTTGCTTCTGAGTTTCTACAACACTAGAACAAGTATTGGTTCCTTCTCTCTTTAATTCCTCATAAACAAACAGAGCAAAAAGTACATTGCGGTTTTTTTTTTTATTTTTAATAGCTTAAAAAGAAAACGAAGAGAGTAAAGAGAAAAAGGAGCGAGGAAATGAAGGCCTATTTTGGTAACCTGGTCTGTAATCACTTTTTTTTTTGGTTAGTGATAAAAGTTAAAAGTTGATTTTTTTTGTCTTTTTTTCATTTGGGAGGTTGGTTTTTAACCAACGGTGAAATTATAATTTTACCTTTCATGGGTCAAAATGTGTCACATATATAAAGTTGTAAATATTTTAAATAAATAGGAATAATTTGGTCATTTTATTATGATTTGACATCATAAACAAACATTAATTAAAAAATCAAAAGTCACTTTTTACTAACTTTCTAAATTATTTATCTAAAAAAATTAAAAACTTAATTAAAAATTAAAAAATTACTTTTTATCACCCTCTCAAAACAACCCGAACATGTACAGAGCAAGAGTAGATAGTAATAGAGAGATAAGACAGAGTGAAAGACTGAGGAAGGAGAGAAGAGTAAAAGGTGGGAGCAAGAGAGAGAGAGAGAGAGAAGGGGGAGGAGAGAGAAGATGGTGGGGGATGCTCTGAAATCTGAAATGAAATGATGTGATTTAACGTTAGATAGTGGGGAAAAGTGGGAAAAAACAACAACGGGGAATTTTTTTAAAACAAATAGGAGGGAGGTAAAGGGACCATTTGCGACATCTACAATACAAAATAAAAAAATAATTTTATAATTTATTTTGAATCATATTAATCTTGTTTGATTTGTTTTTCAGAAAAAATTTTAAAAAAAATTCTCTATAAATAAATTTTTAAGAGTAATCAAACTAAATAAATTTTTTCAAAAAAAATTTCAAAATTTTGTTTGGTTACCTACTTTCCAAAATCACTCTCTTTCATACACATCAAATCAATCATTTTTTTTTAAATTCTATCTCCAAAGTAATTTTCGAAAATTATTTCTGAAAAAAGGCAAACCAAACAAATTTTCGTACTTTTTATCTCAAAAACTACTCTACAAACACAAACCAAACACACCATTCTCTCTTATATAAAAAATTTTAAAAATTAAAAAATTAATTTTTAACTATTTTTTTCAAAACATTTCAAAATAATATTTTGGAGCTGTTTGAGAATTGCTAGATTATTGTATTTTTAAAGTGATATGATAGAGAAGTGATGTAATTTAAATAAGATAATTATGACCTAAATAAAATAATATACATATGTTATTTTAACACATGCAAACAGACACTTATATCCCCATAATTATTTATATTTTATTATAGAATCACTTAAATTAATAGATTTTTGGTTAAATTTCACATTCAAATTAAATTAAAAAATTAAGGGTAAATTACACTGACACCCCTTGAGATTTATATTTATTACAGTTTCTCCTTCACTTTTAGAAATTACATCTCTCTCTTAAGGTTTAAAGTTTCATTATAGATTCTCTCCTTCAGCAATTTAATTTTTTTAAATACCAATTTTTCTCTCATTGGGTAAATTACATTGACACCCTCACATTTTAGAAATTACAATCCCCTCCCCTAAGGTTTAAAGTAGCATTACCAATTGCCCTCTCAGTTAGTATTAGTTGAAAAAAAGATTTATTGAAAAAAAAAAATTAATTGGAGAAAAAATTATTTAAAAAAAAATTAATTGAAAAAAATTTTGTTAGTAAAGTTTTTAAATTTCTATTTAAAAATCAACATAAGCTCATTTTTTAAATTTACGTTTCTTCCTCAAATTTACAAACTGAGACAACCATTTATAAACCAAAAAAATTATCAAATAAGTTTTTATGATAGTTTTTAAAATTTTTGTAAATATAAATTGAAAACTGAAAACGAAATGGTTTCCAAACAGGCTTGTTGGTAAAAATGTCTTAAAATTAACAAATAATTAAATAAATTACCAACGTAAAAAATGACTTATCAAAAGATTCTTAGGTTATGTATTGTTTGATTTTTAAAAAAAAAATTAAAAATTAAAAAATAACTTGGTTAAGAAATAAAAAATAAAAAATAATTATCATACATAGCCTAAAAAATTATAAAAAAATGATAATTATTTTTTATTTTTTATTTCTTAACCAAATTAATTTTTAATTTTTAAAAAAAAATTTAAAAATCAAACCATACATTGCCTAAAAATATTTTAATAAGTCATTTTTTACGTTAGTAACTTATTTAATTATTTGTTAATTTTACTACATTTTTACTATCAAGCCTGTTTGGTAACTATTTCGTTTTCAGTTTTCAATTTACATTTACAAAAATTTTAAAAAATGTCATAAAAACTTGTTTGATAATTTTTTTTTGGTTTATAAATGGTTGTCTTAGTTTCTAAATTTGGGGAAAAAATGTAAATTCAAAAAATGAGCTTACGTTGACTTTTAAACAGAAATTTAAAACTTTACTAACAAAAAAAAAATTTCAATTAATTTTTTTTTTCAATTAATTTTTTTCCAATTAATTTTTTTTTTCAATGAATTTTTTTTCCAATTAATAGTAACCGAGGGGGCAATTGGTAATGCTACTTTAAACCTTAGGAAGGGAATTGTAATTTTTAAAATGTGATGGGTGTCAATGTAATTTACCCAATGAGAGCAAAATTGGTATTTAAAAAAA